ACTTTATACCACGGTCTTATACGACTCTCTCGTAGCCATGTTAGCTCAGGTTAATGATGAGGGTAAGGAAAACACGCTCTACTACTTGAGTCACTATTTAATACCGACAGAGATAAAGTATCCACCCATTGAGAAGTAGTGTCTAGCTTTGATTTTCGCTACCCAAAAGCTTAGAAATTACATGCTCTCTCATAAGATTACCTTAATTTTGAAAGTTAATCCCTTAAAATAGTTGATGAGCCAACCAACACTTTCTGAATGTTTTCCAAGTTGGTCAATGATTTTATTATAGTTTAATATAAATTTTGTTCCACTCTGCGCTATCGAGGGACATATTTTAGAAGATTTTCTTGCAGTGCACCCACTTCCAACCGAGTCCCAACTCTATGATCTACTATCCTAGGGTAAATGGACTAGCTGAGGCCTTTAAAAAAACACTGGTACAAATTTTGAAGAAAACATTGGATGAAAACAAAAGAGATTGTCATAATTTATTGTGAGAAACTTTTTGGGCCTACCAGACAACGTTCAGAACTCCTACTCAATGTACACACTACACACTTATGTGTAGGCCTGAGATTGTATTGCCACTAGAAGTTCAAACAACATTTGTCAAATTCACCATCGCTAACCAAATTACAACGTAAGAAAGTGCAAAACTTAGAATTGAAGAATTAGATTGTCTCGTGGGAAAATGACTAGAAGCATAACAACATTTAGAACTTTACCAAGCGAGGATGGTACAAGCTCAAGATAAATTGGTCCGCACGAGGACGTTCAAAGTGGGTAACTTTGTTCTTGTTCTCAAAAGACCTTTTTTTTCATGTCAAGAGATAGATGGAAAATTTGAGCCAACATGAGAGGACCATTCGTACGTAAAACAGGTTTATTTGGGAGGAGCCTACTAGCCGGTGGATTTCTAAGGCTAAGAACTTATGTTGCCGATCAATAGATGATATTTGATGAAATACTATACAACTTAACTTCGATTGAAATGAGATTTTGAGATTTTTATTGTTCCAAGGTTATTTATTTGGCCAAGCGTTTGTGACTGACTACAAAATTTTGTAATAAATCAACCTCAATAAAATGAAAACTTTGAAGTTGCATAATTCGATATTCTCCTTTCGGCTTTTATGTTTGATATTAAACTAAATAAATTTTTTTTTGGCAAAAAGGAAAATATATTAATTAATTGGAGAGGTTACAACTCTAAGATATGGGGCTCCAAGGAGGTTGCTATGTAATATAAGTGAAAGAGGAGGGGGGAGGAGGAGACTTGAGCATTATCCAAATTTGAGGCTATTCTAGCAAGCTAATTGGCAGGCTTGTTCCCTTCTCTGAATTTAAAAGTGAAGCTAAAATGACTGTTGTTTTGAAGAGAGTTGATTCCTTTCAACCACTATAATAAATGCCAAAGAGGGGTGACACCTCTTATCATCTGAATAAGAATTTTGGAGTCAGTTTCTAACAATAGAAAATCCCATTTCATTCTAACAACAATCTTGATAGCCCAAAAGGCAACAACAACTTCAGTCTCCAGATCATCTTGAGCAATGATAGGGCTAGAGAAGAACAATTTACGTAAACCATTAGTGTCTCTAAAGATACACCCAACATCAGCAGTGGTGTTATTATAACTCCCATAAGTGTTTACTTTGATATAAGGATATGGAGGCTTAATCCAGTAGAATTTAGTAATTATAAAAGAAGAAGAGATGTTTTGAGACTGATTTAGTGTGTTCCATGGATCATAAAAGCCCTTAAAGGTGACAAATTTGTTTATGAAGGCTTTGCAGTGAAGAACAATGTGAGCTATCGTGAGGAGGATGTCTTCATACTTAGCTTTATTTCTGGCCATCCAGAGAAACCAAGCCACAATTCAAGCCACAGTAAATAGTTTGACCTTATACCAGTCCTTCTAGCAGGATTCCAAAGTATCCTAGGACAAAGAAATCAGGTTAGTTTGGAGATTAGGTGTGAGCTCCTTCCAAACCTGTTGAGCAAACTTACAATTAAAAAACAAATGAGGGATAGATTTAGCTTAAAAATGATAGAGATAACATTTAGATGGACCTCTCAGGCACTTAAGCTAGAGAATGTCATTCGCAAAGAGTAGTTTCAGAAAAGCTCTCCATATGAAAAAGGGCATAGAGGGGGTCAGGAACTTATTCTAGATAGGTTTTCCCTTTGACATAGTCTCCCAATTAAACATATTATCATATATAGTTTTGGACAAGGATTGTAACTTGAAGTTCTTTAAAACCAGATTATCTTTAGCATTTCTGTTGAACTGAATTTTAGAGATGCACATAGTAGCAGTAGGAGGAAGCATAGCCTTAAGGGTATCTAAACACCAAGAGTTGCCAGTCCAGCATTCAGATATCAGAAGGTCTTCATTAATATCAGTTGGTCTGGGCTGTAGCAGGTCCTACGGGCACCAGTTGTCCAGCCAAAAAATGAATTTCGCCATTACCCCGATCCCAGAGAAACAAATCCCCAGCATTCTGTCTAAATTTCAACATGTGTGTCCAAATTCTAAAGTCCCCCAACTTCTGTTGACTAAATTAGGGTGTGAGTGTTTGCAATACTTGCCCTTCATATATAAAGCCCATAAAGATTGTTGCTGTCTGAATTTAATCCCAACTTTGCACAGGTATAATTGTTGAAGGTGTAATAGACCTTTAAAGCCAAGGCCTCCAGCCAAAGCTGGTTTAGCAACTTTTTGCCAATTGACCCAGTGAAGTTGTTGTCTTTGACCTGACCAAAAGAATCTATTGAAGCTTCTTTCCAGAAGTAGTTGTGTAGATTTCTTCATAACTGAAACTTGCAAAATGTTGGAAAGAAAGGTTGTTAAAATGCTTTTTAGAAGAGTAGCCCTTCCACTATTTGATAGAAAGGAATTGGTCCAACAATTGAGTTGAGCATCAATTTTGGAGAGTACATCATGAAATTGAACCTGCTTAGTTCTTCCCTTGACAATAGGCACTCAAAGAAATTTGAATGGAGGGGAGGAAATTTTGAATCCAGTAGCTTGTGATATCCAATGTTTGACTGCAGGATTAGCCTTTTTACAAGCTGGCTTCCTGGTTGCTCTGCTAGGGTTTCTGTGGAATGACTAGCTGTGGTGGAGTTGTTGCTTTCATGTGTTCCTTTTTTCTTGGTTTTAGCATTTGGTCTTCTTCTTTCTGTGGGTTTTCTGAGTTATCTCTCTTACCAGGCTTGCTTAAGTTTAAATTTCACTATTCTATTGGATGGACTTAAGTTTTTATATGGTCTGTCTTCTCCTTGCTCCCTTGCTGAGAAGGAGATGGCTGAGTATAGTCCTATTGATGTTGATACTAATTCTCAATGGACCAAGGCCTCCTATGCTGTTGTGGTGGGTAAAGGATAGGAAACTTTACAAAATGATGAACTATTGGTTTTCCCTCAATCTTATCATGATGCTACTGTGGGGAAGGAACCTTGCCCTCTAATCAACCCATTAGAGGTTAAAGAGGGTAAGCCTGCTAATTTTTTTCAATGCAGAGAATCTAGTCACTCTGAAGGCTGATTGTAAGTTCATTCTTAATGGCAAATTACAACTTGGGCACCCCAAAATGGAAATTGTGAGAAGGTTCTTTGATAATTTTCCCTTTACTGGTGCTTTGTAATTGGGGCTGGTGGATGGCTGACACATTATGATCAAGCTGGAATTAGAAGATGATTATGCTAGACTTTTTGGTAAGAAAACAATTTCTATGGAAGGCATCCCCATGAAGCTAGTGAAATGGACACCCAATTTTGACCCTAGCAGAGAACCCCAGATTGTCCTTGTTTGGTTTAAATTACCTGGCCTTCCCTTGCATTTCTTTAATCATAAGGTCCTTTTTAATATTAGACTTCCATTGGGTAGACCATTTAAGATGGATTTCCCTACCTTTAATCTATCTAGACCTCTGTGGCAAGAATATTGGTAGAGAGATATCACTCTCCCTGAGGTTGAGGAAATCTGGCTTGGGTCCAAAGATGAAGGGCACTGGCAGAAAATTGTTATGGAACAAAAACCCTATTAATGCCCTCACTCCAGGATGTTGGGGCATACATCTGACAGATATTATAGGCTACATCCTACCAATAAGAAGAAAGCTGCAAACTCTACAGTGAATGGTACTACTCTTCGTATAGTTAATAGGATCTCTGGGAATATTGTTGCAGTGAATTAACCTCCTCCAATTCAGCCAATTGCATACACTCAAGCTCCATCTAGCCAACAAAATTTACTCATAGAATCATCCAAAGCACCCCCAACCCCAGCCCCTGTACCTCCTGTTGAATTAGAAGAAGGGTAATGCATCATTATGGTTCCTCCTCATTCTAGAAAAGTGTATGTATAATCTGTGGGTGATCTTTCAGTCACCCCAAAGGAGTCTCTAACCATTGCTGAGGAATTAATGGTGGAAATGAATTAAACATTGAAAAAATACTGGTAAGTTCAGAAAGCAAAAAAGAAAAAGAAATCCATTTTGGAGGAGAAGAATGTATAGGTAAATGATTATAAGAAGGCCAGCTCCCAAACCTCTCAAAAGAAGTCACCAATTCAAATTAATAGAGGAAGGACTAGATCAAGATCTCAGCCCTCCCTCCACCCACCTCCTCAACATGATTAATTTTCTTTATTGGAATGTAAGGGGCATTGCTCACCCCTCTTTCTTGAAAAGAATTTTTTATCTCAACAAAAAGCTTAAACTTTGGTGTATAGCCATATTAGAACCTTTAGATCATAAATATCCACAACACATCCTCTCTAAATTTGCTGGTTTTTCATATTTTGCTAACATTAAATTTGGCACCTGTGTAGAAAGGAGATCAATTGAGAAGTTCAGGTGGATCATCCTCAATTTGTCCACTTCTCTTTCAATACTAATGGACATACTGGTTTTGCCACTTTTGTTTATGTTGGATGTACTAAAACTGATAGGAGGGATCATTGGTCATGCTTGCATAATATCAGTCATATTATGGACTCTTGTTGGCTAGTAGGTGGTGATTTCAATTGCATTGCTCAATCTGTTGAGAAGATTGGTGGGAGATCCCCCAATTTAGCTAAAATGAACCTTTTCTTTGATGACATTACACAGGTTGTTCTTTTTGATATTGGCTTCAATGGGACAGAGTTCACTTGGAAAAGAGGAGAAATTTGTGAAAGACTTGACAGGATTTTGGTTAATGACTTATGGTGTCAATACTTTCTGTACACTTTTGTTACCCACCTAAGTCTTGTAGGCTCTGATCACATACCTCTTCTAATATCCATTACTGCTTCAGAGCTTTACAATTCTCCCCCTCCTTTTAGATACCTCAACATGTGGTCTGACCACCCCTCCATTCTTAATACTGTGGCTGAAGCTTGGCACACTACATTGAGGTTAGATCTCTGGTCCAAACTTGTATATCTACCTGTTAAGGTTAGTAAAGCTCTGAAAGCTTGGGGTTGCAGTTGCTTTGCTAAAGTTTTTAAAGCTGTGGATGTTGCTGAAAAGGAGGATCTGGAGCTGAAGAATTTTTGTCTGGTAGATGGTGGGGAGGATAACTTGTTATTGGATGCTCAAGAGAAATTACTTATTGTCATTGATAGACAAGAGAAATTGCTTATGCAAAAAGCTTCCATTAAACATTTAAAAGATGGGGACAGGAACACCACGTTCTACCATGCCTGCATCAAATATAGGAGACAATGCAATACCATTCATACCATTCAGAACTCTGAAGGAACTTACCGTTTTAATAATGCTTCTATTGCCCTTGATGCTGTAACACATTTCTAGCAGATTCTAACTCAACCTGACATCCATAGATCACCTATAGAGAATTTTTACTCTACTGAGGAGATTACCTATACTTCCAATCTAAATCTGGCTCACCGTCCTATTGATCTTGAAATTTGGCATGCCCTTTAAGATATAGATAACTCTAAAACTACTGGACCTGATGGCTTTACATATGAATTTTATAAGAAAACCTGGGACATGATAAAAAATGAGGTGGTTGATGTTATTCAAAGTTTCTTCCAAGGCTCTTCTATCCCTCATTACTTCAATGCTACTATTATTGTCCTTATCCCCAAATCTTTTACTAAGAAAAGCTAGAATGACTACAGGCCCATTAGTCTCACTTCTGTCGTCAGTAAATTGATTAACTAGATTATTGTTGGCAGACTCCAGCCTTATCTTGGTAAACTTGTGCGTGAAAATCAATCTGTCATTGTCAAGGGCAGATATATCACTGATAATGTGCTCCTTGCTCAACAACTTCTTTGGACTTGGACAAACCCTGCAGCAATGGCAATCTAATCTATAAATTAGATATCAAGAAAGCTTATGATACAATATGCTGGGAGTTCATCTTGGATGTCCTCTCCTCTAAAGGTTTTCTAACTGATTTTTGTACTCTCACACACAGGTGGCTTAAGGATAATACACATTCCTTCTTTATTAATGGACAATCTTGGGGTTTCTTTTCAGCTTCCAGAGGTCTAAAATAAGGTGATCCACTTTCTCCAAATATCCTTATATTAGATCTTGACCACAGATACACCTAAAATATATAGTGTTTTTAGATACATTTTTTAAGCTATTTTGAGACATTGCACCTTAATGGAAGTTATTTGTGTCTTTTTTTTTCAGGCACAAGTAAGAAAGGTGAAAATTCTAAAAGGAGTGAAAAAGGATCAAATTTGGAGCAAAAATGAAAAATGGTGCAATAGAGTTTTGTTACCTAAGCACCAGATCCGCTGCTTATGTGGCAGTGAAATAGAGAAGGCTGAGTTTAAGCGTCAGAGGTCTCCCACGCTTAAGCACCAGAGGCAGCTATTTGACGGTTAAATTAATTTTGCCAAATTTTAATGGAAAATTTGAGGCACCTATTGGCTAAAGAGGGTGGTTATGACCACTAGAAACAAAAAAATAATTAAAAGAGTTGTGAAAGGAGGCATCCTTTGGAGAATACATCAAATTGAGACACATTTTGAAGAGTTACCAAGGTACCTCTTTGAAATTTATAAAAGAAGGAATTTGAAACTTTTAGAAGTGTGCTTGAAAAAGGAGAGCCTTGAGAAGTTCTTAAAGAAGTTTGGGGTGGAACGTTTGGAGAGATTTTCAGGCACCACAAATTTACTTTATCCTTTTTCTTTTTTATTTTTATTGTGAGAGTTAAGAGAGTTGTGAAAGAGAATACATTTAAATGAACTTCAAGAGTTTGGTGGAGGATTTGAGATAATTTTTTATCTTTGTTTTTTGAACTACTTTTGGTTTTAATTGAGACTTCTTGTTGGTTTGAAAATGATTTTTACTTTTAAACTAAAGTGTGGTTTTTTTTCTCAATGAATTTTGAGCAGTTTTCTTTATATTTCTCCTTAAAATGTTTTGACCTCACTTTTTGTTGAGGTTTAGTTTCCCTCTTTAGCAGTCTAAGGTCTAGCCATAGGAATTCCTATTGACTATTCCTAGAAAACTAGAAAAAGAACCCTCACCATTAGAAGTTCTAAACTCCTCTTTACTCAACTTGAAGCTCTACATATTGGTCCTAACCTCTAGTACTTAGTAGGTGGGGTCATTATGAGGGAGCTCAAGGAGAGTTCCCATAGTACTGTTGGACCTTCAGATTTACCCTGGGTGTTGGTGTAAAGCTAAGGCACTCACCAGCAATCACCTCACTCACAACCACTCACAAATACAAACCCAAAATTCCTGAACCTTGATCCCTTGATCTTTTAGGATACTCATGTAGGTAGTCCCCTAAACCCTCTGGCCCTAGGCTAGGGTTTTAGCTAAGATCACTACATAAAGGACCAAAATGGGGTTTCCATTGGTCCATGGCTTATTTATGGTGGTTACGGCCC